ACAAAATTTTAGCAATCAAGCTAAAGGAAAAAGGTGTACAGAAAGACGGTAAAATCAGTACGCATGTGCAGAGCAGAACGCCTGGTTACCTGAAAAACAGCTGGGTTCCGTAGAAATGCGAATTCTTAGATGGATGTGTGGTGTCAGCAACAAAAATCATGTCCAGAATACCGTCACTACATCACTGTATGGGAGACCTTCGGAGTAGCATCAATTTGGGAAAACCTGGTCGAAATCAATCTCCAGTGGTTTAGGTACGTGACAAGAAAATCAGTTGTAAATGTGGTTCAGGTCCAAGCACTGACACTGCCAGTGAGTAGAGTAGTAGAGCAGAGTTGCAGGAGCACTTAAAATAAAATGGAAGAGAAAAGACTAAAGAAAAGGTGGCGCGTTATCATAAAGAACGATATGAAACTGCGGGGAGTGACCAAAGACCAAAAAATGTGGAGGTAGCTAACTTGACCAGCGGATATTTGTTACAGCGAGCACGCTCCAAAAAGATGTCTAACAGTATGTAAATGCTAACTATCAAAACGCCAGTTAGTTCTGATGCTAAAGGTAACCGCAAACACTAGCAATGAACCTCAATATGATTCAAAGCTAACTCAATAGCAATGGCGAAATCTCTATTTGTTAAATTCAATTCATCAAGGCTAAGGCTGCTTTGAATACAAAAAAACTGGTGATGATTCATAAATGGAAGACGAGTATACTGATTGAATTGCATAGCCGAATAGCGAAAAAACAAAAAATTCTGCAGAGACATGTGAAAAATATAGAAAAGACAAGCCAACAAAGTTACGCAGAAAGATTTTTAAGACGCATATGTTGTTCTTGCTATTTCCAGAACCATTCAATTCTAACTCTTATGTATTAACATTAGTTAAGACTATTTCCATGGTTATCACCATATGTTGATTCACCAATGCCACTGCGTGAACTGAGGGTTAAAGGGGATTCAGTAAGTCAACAGTGCTGAGGAATTGCGACTGATGGCGATGAATGAAACCACAGTGAAGCTGGGATTGGAAACAACAAAAATAGCAATATTGCTTACAATGAATAACAAGAAAATCAACTCTCGTCCCTCCGTAAACCTAAAATTCTATTAAAGACGATACACACCACTCAGTTGACTGATCTCTAAAAAGCGTTTTTGCTCTAGTCATATGCATTGCACTGTCCAATCGTATCCATTTGTCGAAAAAGGTGTTGCGTCCACTGAAAGTTTGGCAATACGGCCACGAGCAAGAGACGGGTAACTCTGTTGCTCTTCCTGTTAGAACATTCTGAATACCTCAATATGCTTATCTTGCCAGTGCTCGAACCACAAACCAAAAAGTCGTTCGCAAACGCGGCGCTAACGATTCTGCCATCTAAATATTCTTTGCAATACAATGGAAGCAGTAAAAAAAAGAATACCAAAATCTTTGAAGGTATAACGAGAGCACTGACACATTGTGGAACCTTCGATGCTGCGAATGTCCCAAACTTTCAAGCAACAATCGGATCCAGCGCTGAGAAAGAAGCGACCACTGGGATGAACAGCTAACCTGAAAATCTAAGCATAAACAAAACATACTGACAACGTACAGATCGTATTTACTCAAGCATATTTCTCAACAGTAATCTCGTTTGACGACTAGACATTCTACTTCATTTTTTTCATTCTCGTTGCAATATTCAATATATCAATCAACTACAACAAATGTTATAATTGCCTTAAAAACCCTTCGATAAACAGAGTGATCTGTATAGCCACCTTAGACTTAAACAGTGCTAGCTACGCTAGAAGCAACTGTCGATGAAAGAAGGCACTGCTTTTTCAGTTGTTCCTTTGAGATTTTCAGATTGGGATCAAAGTTACTGCACGGGTTAACAAGACACGCATCTGTCTATTTCGCCCTGATTAATGACCCAGTTCTTTAGTTATTGTAAATTTGCTAAAATGTATATTTGTTAAGAGCATATGGTAGCCAAGGCCTACCTCTTCAAATATCACATTAAAATACGTTCACCAGTCAAAAAATAACTTTATGAAAGTAGGATTTACACTGGTGTGGCAAATCCGGGAATCTTAGGTTCAAAACTGACCATTTAAGCACATCATATTAACAACTGCAGTGCAAAGACGGACATATAACATTTTCATGAAAAGCATAATAATTTGTTCGCCACTAACAAAATCTCTACACCCGCTACTTCATACGTTCTTAGATGTCATTAGTCTAGGAGAGACAAAGCTGTTAAACAACCGCTTTCCATACAAACAACAAAGTCGCATGTTCTTCACTGTATAACGCCAAGAAACCCACTTTGGTGTAGTTAGGCTTGTTTAAATCTTTCTGACGTAAAAAAAGATTCATGATATTTTGCAAACGCATATACAGAGCGGTGTTATTCTGGGACGAATGCATCTTCTTCGCACAAGAAACGATGATACTCCAACAGAAGATTCAGCGGCTGTTAAAAATACCTCTCATCGTTTAACTGGAGGCTAACCTCTCCAAGAAAAAATGAATGCCAAAGCAGCACTGATGAACAACACGCTCAAATAATTCATTATCTATGTAGAGGTTAGCCGTCGGTGAACTCGCTAGGCAGCGAAGGAAGACTGCAAGGACACGTTTTAATCGAATTACGACTTACCTGAAAGATAAACTATGAGGGCAAGGAAAAAACTGTTCCAACTCAACCTCCACAATCTATGCTGTTGAATGTTGGTCTGCTACTAGAGCTGAAGAGAAAAAGTCGACAATCACCTAAAGAGCGATGTAGCGAAAAACGTGCAAGCACAAATTCGACAACCGACTAGATTAACAGACAGAATTTCTGTCTTCAACGACGCCAAGAAAAAGCAAGTCCGTAAAGTGGCTCGCCTGAGAGACACCTGGTGGACGCTATGCATAACAGACTGGATTCCACAAAACCATGAACGTCCATTCGGTCGTTTAAGAACATACTGGGACGATCTGATGTTTAAATTACTTTACCAACGGTAAGGGTAGAAAGCGAATAATACTAGAGAAACGATCTTGGTGCGTCCGTAACGAGGGCAACAGATACAAGCAGCAAGGGCAGCTAAGAGTACAAAAAATTACGCATCTATGTAATGAGGATGCTGAAATGTCATAGAGAAGGATCTTCATGAAATGGCACATTTGGCATCTAGGAACAAGTGATGGGCGCACTAAATAGGAATACCTTGTTGTACAAATCAAGCCATTGAGGTTTACTGGAGAGAAAAATAGTTATCAAGGTCTCGGTTTATATCTCGTTATCCTTACTCAGAGTACCCCTGCTGAACTAGTTGTCAGCTGGTGTGAAATTGATTCATAACAGTCGAAAGATCATTCAAAACTGAAGGCGTGTAACAGCACTGAACTACATGAATGATTATTATACTGCAAGAAATGTGACTCAGGTTCACAGAATAATAACTCACTAATAATTAGCACAAATTAAACATGTAAAATTAACATTAAAAAATTAGGACCTGTTGACGCCGCCGATGTGTTCAGACAACGACGCGACAAGTCGTCCCTCAGGTTTCCAGTAACAGTTGAAACGCTTGCGAGCAAAGCTCTGAGCAGCGCGGTTATAGGATTTGCCATAGCAGTGGCGGTGCCACAACTCTTTTTGAAACTCGACGAAGTTCATCAACTCCAGTTTGGAGTCCGGGATGTAGATTCGCGCCTCGGAGGTACCGCTGATGTCTGATGACATCATATGGCTGATATGATCGAAGTCCTTTTTCGACGAGGATACGTTCGACTGACCGTCATCATCGCTCGTCGTCGACCCTGGTCTCTGCCGTTGTTTTGTATCCGCTGTCAAATATGTCGATGCGTCGATGTCGCCGAATGACTTAACCTTAGTAACTGATTCGCCACCGCTTTTGTAAGTATTCGAAGCGGCAGCATCAGAGGGAACGGATGAATGAGTGGGATTCTCAGGCTCCGTTTCATGGGTGCCAAACATCTGCAACCATTCTTCATTCTAAACCAAGAGCTTAAGATGCATTTCAAAAAAAGACAAGACAAATTTAAGGCTAAAACAGGGTCTGAACATATCTCCTGAAACATCATGAAGTTTGAAAACCTCAAAAATTTTCAACGGCACTACCTGTGCCGCATTCTATGAAAGTTGTATAAAGGGGCTATAGAACAGGAGGCGCGCATTGGCCTAAGAAAAATTTCAAAAAAATCTTACAAACATGGTGCAGTTTAGTAAATTAGAAGGTCTCCAAACCGTATTTCGTTGGAACAATGCATCAGCCGCGAAACATTTTGGAGAAAAACTTTCAAAAATCTCACTGAGGCAAATAACTGTACGATAAATCCTGTGAACCAAACTGTAGTAGCAAACAACGCCCAATGCAAATCTGATCTATCATTTCAATGGTTGGGACCTCTGATTTTAGCAATAAAGAATTTTTCTGTAAAGTTGGTAATTAATGGCTTACTTTAACTATACCAGTCAAAATTATGGCACAAGGTCATGTCTGAGGCAAGGCTGCTGAAATTAGAAACATTTCAACCTATTCTGATGCAACATTCCCTCACTATTCATGACATATTCTTGCTAGTTAGTCTAACAATGAAATTCGATGGAAAAGGCTGATCAGGTGCAATGAAAATTTTGGGACATAAACGAAACGCTTCATGGCGTTCCTTCAATTGTGACATAAAGAAGCTTTATATAGAACAGAGGAGAGGAATCGCTAAAACCTAACGATGTGTTTTACGTGAACAAAACAGAAAAGCAAGTGAGCTTACGACTTTGTCTTCGACTCGATCAGCCTCCCACTTTTTCGCGAATACTGCTTCTTTGTTGATGTCATCAGTGAGATCAGCGCTTCGTAGTTTGACTCCGAGACACTTCAGGTCGATGACGCCTCGTTCTTCAATTTCGCTGCTGAGCAACGCCTCGACGTTATCCCGCATTTTGCGCACTTTGCAAAGTGTCGGCGCGAAAGCGAGAGTCCAGTCCTCAAGTTCCTCGGTTAATCCTAGAGCTAACAACTTTTGGAATACGTGGGATAGCCTGTGGTCTTCTGGCACGATCATAAGCCGCTCAGGTGATTCAGCCCCGCTGAAGCGTCCAAGGTTGCGCACCATGTGCCGATCCCTTAGAAACTCCAGCAGCGAATCGAGTACTGAGCAACGAAAGATAACGTCCAAAATCGGCTCCGGCAACGCAGGCTTTAAGGCGTGCGCCAAAACCTGCAACCAAAAGTATACTGTAAACAAGGCGCACTGGTCACGTAGGTCGACCTGGTCTACGTACCACGCTGTCGACGACGGCGACGACACGAAATTTGAGGTATGCGCTCAACAGTGGCATCATTTTACAATGCAGATCAACTGCATCTAACTGTTGAGCAATCGAACTGACAGCGCCAAGGGCACCCATGCGCAGAAACGGATTCTGTAATATCAATATAATCAGAAACAAAAATTTTCTAAGCTCTGAATGCTACCATATATGCTTGCAGAGCTTGCAACTAAAATTATCTTGAAGCCTTAATTGGCTAGAGCAGAGAATCTTATTCCAAAGAACATCGCAAATATCACACTGGCTGAAAGAAAGGTATCAAAGGAAAAACACCCTAACCAGGCGGTGTCACAATTAGACCACGATTAATGATTAGATTGCATGGTTCATCACGTAGGTTTCAGGCGAAGTGCATTTATCTCAAGCGGATGGATTCGTACGAACGGTTAGCCACTTCGTTCTTTGGTTCAACTAAATAACCAAATACCATTATTTACTCAGTTGCTATCCGCTGAAGGCGATAATTTGAGAAATTATATAGCTCAGAAATAACTTCCGGAGGTCATACACAAAATTAGAAAAATACAACAAAAAACTTGACATGAATGCTTTCTGACGAATATAATGGGGTTCTAAAACATGGCTTATTTATAAAGCACGACGACCATTTTTTTCCAATCAGATTATTGACCAGTACCAACACTTCGGCCATCTGGCTCCCAATGCACGATAGCTGAGAACGGTCAAGAAGGGTTTGCTTCTCCCTACATTGAAGAAAACCTATGAGAACGGGTTGAAACGCTGGTAGTGGCTGAGCATAAAACGGACCAAATTGATTGTGTTGTGCATATCTATTTATGTCATCTTCAATAAGACAACTAACGCAAGAACTAAATACTCAATCTTCAGAAATAATGGCTTGTTGAACAAAGGACATCGATCTGATGTAGTTGAAATTTCTTCTATCAAGCGCAGTAATCCAACAATCTCGATTCCAACAATGGGAGAACGAAGACAATGCCATAAGTTCATCTGCTGAACTAAAATTCTTTAAGGTAAACAGCCATATTTTCAGGAGAAAGACGCTGGCCATAAGTCAGATGCCTCTTTGATTAGCAGATTATAGAAACACTCAAAAATTTTACACATCTTAAATTCTTCTTGGTTAACATCCCGTCTAACAAAGTTCGTAAAGGAAGAAGAGAGGTCAATATTCAGGACCAAAGTAGAGTGCAACAACAACAAGAAAAAATTATATGCTCACTGGATGACGAAGATAAGGTAGAACTTCCTGGAAAATTTCGTACACGTGCGGTTTCTTGACTAAGTGTAATTTGGCTAGTTTTGTGACGCAAAGCAACGCTTTGTGAACGACATTCGCTTCGCAATCTCTGAGGCCCTAGAAGCGAATGAACCGACGATAGCCAAATCAAGAACAGCGGTACCTGCTGAAGAAGAGGCTTTAGAATAGACACGTTCTGACTGCCGATGAAAGATGTTAGCGCAGGATTGGACTCGAAGAAAGAACAACGGAGTCGCCAATCACTTTTGTCGTTCAAAAACGTGATCATATGCGACAGAAGAATATCACAGCCTGAAATGAACTAAAATCAGTTAACAGCCCATGAACAGTGTGTTCAGATATTAATAATCTACAGGACGGGCAGAGTTTGACATGATACATCGTAAATGCATGTATTTCTGTTATAATCGAAAAGCTATGAAGCTATGAGCTTTTTCTTCTTACCTTTCATCGTTGAAAT